CATTTTCTTATATACACATCCACACATTGAGAAGTTTCTATCTGGAATGCAAGGTATATGGTGTAATGTCTTTGTCTTTGATTCCAATTTGAAAATATTCTTTCTCTTAGATTTAGGTTATAATGCCTTTTTGTCTAATTTTTTTGTATCTTGTCTTTGGAGAATGACTGAATCAGTTGAYTTACCTAGTTTTAGTTCACTCTTTCATAATAGCATTATGAAATATTATGCCTGTTGGATTACTTAATGTACAGAAAAATAGGGGTAGTACTTCCTTGTTCAACAGCATATGTTGCATGCGAAAATCTTAATAAGGTTCTTCAACATGTCAGACTTCATAATTGCTATTTATAGCAATGACAGCTTTTCAGGGTAAGTGACTGTAATTCCTCCATCCCTATTCTGGTTGGTTTGTCACATACTGTAAATCTCAGCAGACACCCTAGAGAATAAGGGTTCCCAGGTGTACTTCTTGTTTGTTTATGTTTTGTTTTGTTTTTCCAATCTCAATGAAATATTCCCGAGGAAATTTGGCATTTGCTATAAATCAGCCAGTTTCTATAGGAAAGTTTCTGTTTCCCAAGGCAAGAATAAGACCAACTAAGTGAGATACCATCCGAGATGTACAAAGTGTTAAAAGACAGCCAAAGACTGCAAGTTCTTTAGCTACAGAGAGAGAAGGACATTCTCCAATTGGTAGATATAAAACAAGGAGGATTTAATGTGCCTGTAGGTGCACTCATGGAAAGCATGACATCAGCCAAGAATATTTTCTACCGATTAATTCCATATAAGTAATTTCTGTAAGCCCATTAAAAATGTCCTTTTGAAGCAAAAATAAGCCAGTCAGATATTGTGAGAGTTATAACAGTGAAGTTTCTGATTGTTGTTTTTTATTTGCAAAAATCAACCACTCTGTACTGATCCACTGATTAAACAAAGTTTTTACAAGGAACCTATTTGTCTAGGTTCTGGAGTGTTTGTCCATGCTGGAAGTCCACCTTACATGGTACAAGGGCTCCCAGCCACACTGATGCATATCAAGTGGCTTTGAGGCAGTTTTCCTGCCTTCAGAGGTGCCTTTCTTTTGCATTGTGAAATCTGCCCTGTAGTTAAAGGACTTAGCCCAAACCACATGGGCTGTCTGTCATCTTCCTTCTTAGTCACGTATCAAGAAAATGGTTTATTTAAAGCAGGTGATACCAAGACTAAATGAAAGATCTTTTCATGAGGATTTCCTTAGGCACTCTGCAGTATTTGCTTCTGGCTGGTGAATCCAGAAGGGATCTTTCTGTAATTTGGCACAAATATTGACAAAACCYGAGGGAAGAACCAGGTTGTTTCTGATTACCATCTATAGTAGGAGTCAATAAAACTTGGAGAGCAAGTACAGATGATTCCAGAGAAAAAGTGCACTTCTGTGTTGGAAACAAATGGGTCTTGCCAAAGAGGTTTTGAACATTAATGCCTTTAAAGAAATCAGAAATATAATATTGCATTTTCCATAAAGCAATAGATAACTAGCAATTTTGTGGTCTTGACTGTTTTTTCTTAGAAGCAGTAGGTGACAACTTATGATCTATGATCTTATGATTGGCCTGAACAACTACAGAATATAGAATATAGATATAGAGTCTATATCTATGGAATGTAGAATTCAAGACTGATCTGATATTCCTACTTTCATTAAGAAATTAAAGGCTATGTCCATGCTAATAGACAGGTCCAGTCTTAAGCACTGTCTTTGATCATCTATACTGTTCAAACTGTTTACATATTTCTTGGCCCACTTTTGTGCAGGACTTTTGGCATTCCCAAATAATGCCAGGCACAGTTCAGGACATAACATGAGTAATGGACTATTTCCAGTAGGCAGCAGCTCTGAGGAAAGCCTGTTTTTGGGAGAGCATAAATTAGGTGTGTGGAGGCAAGTTCTCAGGGTCAGAGCATAGGCCTATTTTTTTTTTTTTTTTTACTATTCTAGATGTGGTATAGGGCTCTTGGCAGTGACTTGGCTCAGTGGCAATATGCCAAAGTGCATGAAGTACTTCAGTGTGGTAAAGTCACGTTAGACTTAGGAAATGGGAGCTTTCTTCTCAGTACAAGTTCTATGAGAGAAAAAAATCTCTGTTTTCACTGCTATGACCTCTGCTAAAGTTTAATATAATTTATAAAACAATATGACAGAAACCTACTTATTTTCTGATATAATTCTTGAAAAATGTACTAGTGGAATAGTTTTTTGCTGCAAGCAGTAAAAATCATGTCCACCTATGATGTAAGAATTAAATCTCATGTGAAATATTAGAAACTGAATAAAGTTTCACGACAAACTTTCCCTAAAGGGAATCTATCTCCAAGGATCTGTTTTCAAAAACAGTTCAAAACAGAGAATTAAATAGCTCTATTTTTCTACTCATATCAAATTTGAATGCAGCTGATTAAAAGTTATTGAAAAGAAGAGGACCTGACATGACAACACATTCATATTATGACATTCCATTAGGAAACAAGAGTAAAAATAGCATTGATCGTTAAAGGACTATAATTTTGTTCTTAGAGGAATTGAAGAATATTGAAGATAGAAGCTCCTCTTGACACTGACTTCCTAGCTCTCTCTGGTTGTTACAAGCAGGATAGTGTTGAAACTGAGAATTACTTTCTGTAGCAACTGCTTTCAAAGAAGCAATACCCAAAGGTGTTAGTTTAAAGGAAAATATAGCATGTGATATAATCATCTTACCAATGAGTTGTCATAGTGTTAAAAGGCCACAGAAATAGAGATCTCTCTTTTTTTTTTCATTCTGTACCTTTCTGTTTACCCACATTTTGTCCCACTCTTTTCTCAGCGTTAAATTTACCAATGTGCATCAATATACATTAGCAYGCAATAAGAAGGAAGGATGAAAAAGGGTATGAACAGAACTTCTTGGTTACCACAGATTCTGAATCTTTTTTATTATCTGTCCAATTAAGGACATTAAGGCTGTCTATCTCTCAACTTTGTTCTGTGATTGTCCAGCTGTTGATACTAACTCAAATTTTCCCTACTAAATTCCTTAGGAAGAACACCCAGTATTTTTTTTTTTTAACATCATGCATAATGTCTCCTTACTGGATGAACCAGCTCCTGTATTCTCCTCTATTCATGCTCCAAGCATATTTTCTCCTCATGCAAATGGAGCAAAAATGAAAGGGCAAAAAATATTACAAGATAATGCTCAACTGTCTTAAAGAGTTGGATTATTATTCCAAATCAGATGCCTCATCTCACATCCTCTAGAATCAGATGAAAAAGTGACTTTGCTTTTGAGGGCCGTATATTAATTCGTTGGATAATTTTTATCAAGAGCACATTTATTGTAAAATTCCATAAAGAAGCAACAGAAATTTCCTTTTCTGAAATAAATTTAAACCATTATAAGCCATTTTTCCAGACATATCACATGACAGGGCAAAATCTGCATGAGTACTGCTATCCTTGCTTCAGACTTTCATTTCTGTGCAAAGAAAAAGTCTCTTAACCTGGAGCATTGGGAGATTGGGGACTGGGTCCACTGTGTGTCAGCCTGCCCACAATTTTACCTTCTGTCTAATGACTTGAAAACTGTGTTCTTAGATTTCTGTGTCCTGGGCTGTTGTATCCTCACTATTGCCTTTGTGTACAGTGTCCTTTTGATCTGCTGTCATTAAAGCATTTTGTTTACTGGTACATTTATGAAGTGTCTTGCCTGTTTAAATAAATAGATAAGTAACATTTTTTAGATGTCAGCACCATTAACAGAAGAAATTATCATTAAACAAATGTCTTGTCGTAAGAGCTAAAAGCTGGGGTGGTGATAAACAACAGGAAGCACTTTCAGCATTTCAGTAGTTCTGTTTCTGCCGTGACAATTAATATGTATTGGCAATAACGTATTTAGGGGGATGGCAAATGTCCCCTTTTAGGGGGATGGCAAATGTCCAACATCACTATATTGCTCAATAGAAAGAAAGTGTGGATAAGGGTAAAAATTTGATACTATGATAGATGATTCTCAAGAAAAAAAGAGACATATAAAGAAATGGGGATAATTATAGCTTAGATAAGCTTTGTACTGAARAAAATTTTCTTTTCACTTGACCTATTCTTACCCTATTCTCAGAGTTTTCTTAATAACCATGCACTATTGTGACTGCAGAAAGGTCGTCAGAACAATATAGGAGAGGCAGGAGGTGCCTTTGTTTTAACTTAGTGAATATATGGAAAGGCATGGAAAATGCTTCTTATATCAGCCATTGACTATTTACATATATATAAGCTATTATAATGAGATATCAATGCAGCATAATACTTTCTTAGTAACAAAGCAGAGTCTGATCAGGTAAAAATTCACATGTATCTATTATTCCTCCCTGTTGGGTTTCTGTACCTCTGGTTTCCTGTAGGAAAAAAAWWAWTWAAAAAAAAATTAAAAAGGCAGCACTGCCTTTTTAAGTGACATTTTTGTCGCTCTAAGTGACATTTTTGGCRCTTTATCTGCTTTGTTTTTCTTGCCTGGTGCAGGCAATCTTTACTCAAGCCATTTTCAGAATCTAGGGGAATAAATATTTGTGATTTGATAAGCAAAATATAGAAGAGCAACACTGAAATCATTAAGAATAGAATAAAAATGTATATGAACATCCTGATCTTTTTGTATATAATTTAAAAGAAATTTTACATTATAGTACTTGAATAAATCAAATAACTGATATGTTTTTGCTAGTAATGAATAAGTAAGAGCTCACTATTTAAAACAAAATTTGAATGAGTCAGGTCTATGTTTACAGGAGACCAAGCAAGAACCCAACAATTAAATTTGTTCCTGTTTACCTCTAAGAAAACAACCCCTACCTGTGTGAATTAGCTGCTTTTACCCTCCAGTGTCCCAAAACCTTCCATCTGAAACCTGTCCTTTTCTGTCTTCCCCTTTTCACTCCTCTTTGTCTGCCCTGTTTATCCGTCCACTGGCTGACAGTGTCTTTACATCCAAAATGCAAAGCAGACAGATGGGCGCCTCAGGAAAGAACATGACCAAGAGCACCAGCATTGGCGGGGACATGTACACGCTGGACAAGAACGACGGCAGCCAGTCGGACACCGCCGTGGGCACCGTTGGCGGCGGCGGCAAGAAGCGGCGCTCCAGCATCGGTGCCAAGATGGTCGCCATCGTGGGGCTCTCGCGGAAGAGCCGCAGCACGTCCCAGCTCAGCCAGACTGGTAGGAACTGGGTTCCTTTCTCTCTTGGATTAGGGCGTAAATGTACGTGGTGTGCGTGTGCCGCAACAGAGCCGTGTGGATATCCTGCTGACATTGCCTCGTTGACAGTGCTCTAGGGAGAGAAGAAATTGGTCAAAACTCTAATTGTCTGGACATTTACTAAACTTATTTTTTTAGCGAAGATCCTTTTCAGGTTGGACTGAGGCTTTTTCTTTTCCACTTGCTAGAACTGGCTTGCGCTAACAGTCCTTTGCTTCTCAGGAACCAACGTGAGCTGCTGCACTCATGTTTTAGTGACTTCTCTTTCATAGTTGGCGAAGGATGGTTAAACTGCACTTGCAAAATTCCTTCTCTTTGCTTATGAATAGTGCTTGCATATTTCAGTGCTTTTTTCCCCATACTTCAACATGGACCATTTATTTTGAAACAAAATCATTTTCATGAACAAGATTGTGTATTGCATTTCATTGCTTTAATACAACCATTTTAGTGCTTTTTAATTCTTTTCAGCCTACCACCATATTCACCACCAGTGTAGATCTTCTTGTTTCTGGTTATGTCAATTAAAATTTGTTACTGAAATTTGTTACTATTTTACCTTAGAAAAATAGGCAAACTTTTCTGCATTGACACTCAAAGCATTTAATTTTTTTTTTATTCCTTTTCTATTTCAGGGAAAATCCATATAATGCACTCTGAAAAATGAAAAAAAAATGCTCTCATTGTCAATTAAGGAAGCTGTGTACAGTTAGGGTACTTTATATGGAAAAAAATTACTTGTATTAAAATTGTTTTATATAAGTACATAAATAAGCCATTTTTATAGATAATCACATATATATATTTATATATTTAAGATTATATAAACTTGAGATACATTGTATACTTAGTATCTAAGCAAAACAGATGTAATGTTGCATGGGTCAACATCAGTTAACAAATAGTGTTTAACAGTATGTGGTCCCATCTGAAGGTCTCCATTGTGCTAAAAACTCTTCACATGTTGTTAAGAGATTTTTTATTTCTTTGAAAAGTTTGCAGTTCATATCATGCAACTGAAGTGCTAAGAGGTTTAATGTTTAAGTAAATGGAGTGAAAGGGTGGTTTGCAATGTCAAAAATTGTGGTAACTTTTGTAAGTAAAATTTGTAAGAGAGGAGTTTAAAAACTTGGAAGGAGAAGGGAGAGGGGACACTGAAGGGAGGAATATGGAAAAACATGCAGAGAAGGGGGAGTGCAGAAAGAGCAGAGAGATCTGAGTGTGCGTCTTAACACTGAGAAAGGAGGGAATGAAGAAACCAAGGCAAAAAGAATGCACATAGTGCAAGCTCTGAAGGTCATGCAGGCACTGGTGACTCCATTTGGAGGCAGATCTTTGCAGGAATACATATTCCTGTCTTACCTAACTTACCAGTTTGGTTGCTGATTATGGAAAAGGCAGTTTCATGCATGTATCTTGTCCAAGCTCAAATGAATGGGGGGAAAGACAAAGTGATCTTTATAGAGCTCTAGAAATATCTATAAAAAAATCGTGTCATACTCACCTGGAATCGGTTATTTTTGCTCACATGATAATAAGCAGGTATATAACAGCATGAACTGTGTCACACAGGTATGTGTTAATATGTCARTCATAATGCACTGCGTTACTCGTTCTGATCTAATCATGACTTAAGGTAAGAGATATGAAATGAATTCAAAAAGGATGATAGTTCTTTGTGTGYTTTTCACCTACAAGTTTCTCAGCACTAGAGGGAATCTGTATCACTTGTGACTTGCTTAGAGTTGATTTAAATATCATGCTGCATTGTTTAGGACAATGCTTTTAATCTGAAGTTTCTTTCTTGGTCTTATATCCGCTCAGTTGGATATCAGGATATACCCAGTTATGGACAAGCGTAAAATGCAAGTCTTAAAATTACTCAAATTCTCTGGACTCCTTCACTGTGAAATGAGTGTTTTGAAAAACTCATGAAAACAGTACTGTGTTTTGGTGTGTTAAAGCTGAAGCAGAGATCTGCATGGCTTTAGCAGGCAGATGTTCTCCCTCTGCTCCTCCTCGAGAAAGGTCTGCACTGAGCAAAGTTCTGCTGCCATTAGGAGTTTTTGTGTAAAGGCTCTGMACATTTAGACTGGAAATGGGTTGTCATACAGTACAGTTGGTTACAACAGCTCCTGCAGTCCTATTAAGCAGGTCCTCCTGAGCTGTCCCCCATCCCGTGACCCAAAGGGGCTTCTTCTGTGGTTATCATGGTGGCCACATGTGGTTGTCACTGTCATGACAGATATGCTTTTTTTAAAAATAATTGAGTCACACATACCTGCTCACTTCTGGTGAGCATGAAGGTGACCTGTCGGGGATCATTTGGCCCCCAGAAGCTCTACATGTGTAGAGATGTGTCTCCAGCATCCCTGGATTCCCTGTTTTATCTCATTATGTTTCTGTTTCAGATGATAAATGCCTGTAGAAAGAAATCATGTACCAATACAAGCATTCACAGCAGGTCTGATACCAAAATACTCGGTGTGCTGTAGATTTCTAATATCTGGAAGGCAGGTGATACTCAGATTTCAAGGCACTATTATATAGCAACTAGTTCAAGTATAAGTTCAAGTATAAGTTAAAGTATAAGAAACTAGATCAAGTATATTAATTTCTGGCCTAAACTGAAGAAATTATGCTCAAGTGGTGAGGCAAGTATCTCTTTAGTTGACAGCAGGGTTGAAAAGGCATGTTGGTATCAGGAGGTAACAATTATGCTAGGTCTTCAGAAATCAGTCATATTTATATCAACTATGGTTTTATAAACTGTGCCACAGGTTAAAGTCAATAAAGAAATGTCTACCATTGTCTATAAAATCAATTTCTAGTACATTCTAGTGCTTCTTTTTGGTAAAGCATGATTATATTTCAGTAGTTTTCTTCATATTTTATAAGTAAAATTATGCTAGAGTTTTTTTGCAAGTAAGTTATGATGATTGCTTTCAGGAGTGGGAATCAGGCATACAATGAATACTGTAAGTAACCTATTTTTACTGTTCTTTCAATATACTATCAATATATTATTTCTTGTAAGTTATTGGGAAACTGACTTTCTAAATATATACAATAATGTGTTTTGAATTTCACTCTTTAATACTTTTAGCTTATTCAAGAAGGAATTCTTGCTTATGTTTTAGGGAGGGGAGGGCATCTTGGTTTGCTGTTGCTGAGGGGAAGAAAGAAAGTAACTGTCTTAATAATTTAAGCAACATAGAATATGCGTAAAATCACAGTTCCTGCATGGACCTGCTTGCAAACACTATTCAGCATTTATTAATGGGAAATATAAAATTAATACCTGGGAAAAGTAGGAAAGGGAAAAAAGCACAATCTCCTTTTGTTTCACAAAAGAAAAAAAAAAGRAAAAAATAGCATATAGAAGTTCAGAGAAGGAGAGCTCTTGGTGTCAATTTGGGTAAGAATTCTCTACTTTTTTTTTCTACCTACTCTACTTYTTTCCACTTTCTACTTTCAGTTTTCCATTACTTTGCATGGAAACATTATTTCATGTGGAAAAATCTATGAGGAAGAAGAGATAATAGGAATTGCAATTTTTTTTTATATCATAACTAATGTTCCAAAATAAAAAATAAATGATTAAAAAAAAGATACTGAAGGTGATATGTAGTACAGAGCAGAAACTAGCTGATGCTCTGAAAGCTTAATTGAGGAATGTTTCTCAGAAGACCCTGCTTGTAACTTAGCAGAAGTTGTAAGGAAACATTTAAAAATCATTAGGAAAACAGGAAAAAAAGGATATGATAACATCAAGAAAGTAAGTTCTAAGCTAAAGGAGTATCTTGAAAGCAAACGGTAATTTTAGGAAAAATAWTGGAGAATCCAGCTAGATATTAGTTTATGTAATCAAAGTAAAATATGAGAAGATATAATTGCTGTTCTGTCCTAAGAAAGGTATTTTGTTTTCATTCAATTATGAGTAGTGTGTATTCTGTGTTGGAAGGCCTCCAGAGAAAGAGTTGAATACATCTGAAATATGACAAAGACMTGAATAAGCAATATAAACAATGTTCTGTTCTCCTGAGAGATATAATATTTCAATCTGAAAATACTTTAAAAATTGCTRATCTAGTAAATCTGCTGACCAAGCCCATTGAGGTTAATTTATGAAAGTAAAATTATGATTCAAGAAGTTGGACAGGTCTGGATCTTCACCTCATTAAGACAAGAATGGAGATCTTTTTCAGGAAGAAATGGACCTTTTTCAGTTGATGATAGCAAAAGGATCCAACTATACTGTAAATCTGGATGATGTCTTTCCTCCTGTCCATTACAGTAAAAGAACTGTGTGGATCACTATCCCTCTCGGAGAACAAATAGAAGAAAAAATGTCAGTGTTAAGATCATGACAATACAGAAAACATAAATAAAAATAGATGAGACTYATTCTCTGGTTTCTGTTCATAATTAAAGAAGAGCTATAGCTTCAGAAAGTTCACATTACTTTGCTGCCTTCTAACAATGTGCATCACTGTTGTGGTATTTCTTGTCTAATCTTGATGAAAATTTTAAGTGAAAAAAATACAGGATCAGGATTTTGCCAAGTTCAAAAAAGAGCATTAGAAATCCAGCATTTCCTTTGACTTTGCAATCAGACTAACGGTTGAGCAACAAAAATAATTTCAAAGATTTTGGAAAGTCTGCAAATGTAAGAATTAGGTAAAAGATAAGATAGCCTAGAGCAAAGAGGCCAGGTGAATCAGAATTGACTTTATTTCTGACTCCCAGACCCTTTTCACTGCATTAAAAAAATAACTAGAGGAATACTCCCTGTGCTTGATTCAACCCATCATTCCCAAAAGCTAAGATATGGCAGAAAGGGTTTGTGCTCTGATCTTCAGGTCATGATTCCAAAGACAGCCTTCCCAGGGAAAACCTGGCTTCCTTTGCTTGAGAAAATAAAAGACAAAATTCAAATTCCAAAGGAGCTGTTAACAGTG